GGCCACCCGGCCCCGCAAAAGCCTGGCTCGCGCACTCCCAGCCCCCGCGCGGCTGGGCTGCTTCCACAGTCCGGGGTGGGGCGGGGAGAGGAGGTGACTCACACCCCGGGCTGCCCAGGATCCCCGTCTCCCCAGAGGAGAGGTCGGCGCGCTCTCATCCCTCCCATTGGCAGTGGTTGACGCCGGGTAAGGTTCGCAGAAGCGGAGTTCTCCTGTTCCTCCTGGGATCATTCACCTGGATCTTGGGGTCTCGACAGGGGCACCCAGCAAGCCCTTCTGCCCCAGGCGCCCCCTCCCCCCGCCCCGGGCTGACGGCCTCGTCCCCTTGCCCCACACCACTCCTGCCTAACTAGGTCCTCCAGCTCCGGGGCGGCCACCTCCCCATCCCTGCTGGGGGTCGTGCCAGCCCCTAAGGAGGCAGCCTGAGGGGCCCAGGAGGGTAGTCAGCAGATGCCTCTCTTTAGTGGCCCATCACCCCTCAGAGGGGGCCCGGGCTCTCCCACCTGGCGCTCTGTGCAGGGGCTGTGCCATAGAAGACAATGGGACTCAAGGGCTCAAGCGCCCAGAGGGAGCTGGGGATGGGGTAGGGGATCAGGCAGTGTCTGTGGCCCAGCAGGGATGACAGGAAAGGCTGGGGGGCAGGGGCTCCACCATCAGGCCCAAGAGCCTCTGGGAGAGTCATCCTGCCCTTTGTGGCGCTCCAACCTTTGCCTGTTTCTGGATTTTTTTTTTTTTTTTAAAGAAGGGGTTTGGATCCTGCATTTCCACTCATTGCCCATAGAACAGACTGGCTACAAAAGGGGCCCTGGTTGGCCAATCACCACCCTCCCGCCGCCCCCCACCCTCCTTCCAGGTCCTTCCTCCAATCACAGCATGCAACTCCGAAGTTCTAAGTCCCATTGAAAGTGGCAGTGGCTCGGCTGGACTGTGGCCGGAGAATCGCTGGGCCTGGGTACTCAAGCACCATCTGTCCGTCTGTCCGGCTGCAGCTAGGCTCTTCAACTGGGGGCCGGTATTGCTCTCCGGCTGCCTCCACCGGGTCAGATCATCTCCAGCGAGGAGGAACTGTCATCTGGTAAGGAGAAGGGATGGGGAAGTCTTTTCCGGTGAAGCCCCGTGGTCCTTCACCACTGGTTCCTGGAGAGATGGTTTTGGGCAGAAGCTACCAAAGACAGAAACCCTCTCCTTCCTCTGAGGACTGTGTCAGCCTTGGAACTCTGCCTGGACGGACACACACACACACACACACACACACACACACACACACACCCAAGCTCCTAGAAATGGTCCAACTTGCAGAACACCAGGGACTCTGGCAGCTAGAGAGGGACTAGAACGTGGTCCTTCACCACTGGTTCCTGGAGAGATGGTTTTGGACAGAAGCTACCAAAGACAGAAACCCTCTCCTTCCTCTGAGGACTGTGTCAGCCTTGGAACTCTGCCTGGACACACACACACACACACACACACACACACACACAAATACATACATCCAAGCTCCTAGAAATGGTCTAACTTGCAGAACACCAGGGACTCTGGCAGCTAGAGATGGAGTGGGGGACTAGAATTCCGGGGGAAGCCGCTGAATGGGAGGGCTGAGAGGAGGCGAAGTGCCCAGCCCTCTGTGGTACAGCAGGAGCTCGGATGAGCCGGACTAGAAGCCTCGGTAGCAGCAGAAAAGTAAATGGGGGTCAGAATTCAGTAGGCCCCACGGTCCAGTCTGAGGAGTTCATAAACCTTTAGGACTCAGAAGACCCATGGCAGAGAGCAAGGATAAATGAACTAAAGTGTTCTGGTGATGGAGTGAACAGAGTAGGGGCGGTGAAGAGACCAGTGGCTGTTAGCCAGGTGACGAGAAGGAAAAAGTAAGAGAAATGACGTGGGGAAGTCAGGGGGAGAGATGGGCCTTCAGTGCGTGGACATCTAGAGCTAGAAAGACAATCGTGGGCATAGCTGGGGTTATGGAGCTGAGATGGAGATTCAGATTTTGGAGCCAAATGCACAAAAGTATTACTGTTACTGTAAAAGAGGGTGGTGGCCATGCCATGGCGAGTGAAAAGATATCTCTCTCTCCTTCTCTCTCTCTCTCTCTCTCTCTATTTTTTTGTTAATCCTCACCCGAGTATATTTTTCCCATTGACTTTTAGAGAGAGTGTAAAGGAGGGAGGGAGAGAGAGACATCGATATGCGAGAGACACAAGTGGTTGCCTCCTGCTTGCACCCCAACCAGGGCCAGGAATTGAACCCACAACCCAGGTATGTGCCCTTGATGGGGAATTGAACCTGGGACCCTTTGGTGTGTGAGGTCGATGCTCTGATTACTGAGCAACACCGGCCAGGGCAGGCGTGAGATTTCAAAGAGGGTCAAGGGCAGAGCTACCAGGAGAGCTAGGATTGAGGGAGTAGGAGGAGTAATGGGAGACGGAAAAGGACCCTGAGAAGATAGATCTCAGGGTTCTGGGGCCATGGGAACCAAGGGAGGGCAGTTTCAAGAAAGACATGGGTACAGCGTGCAGAAGAGAGCACCAGAGGACACAGCACAGGAGGAGGCCTGACCTGGCAGGTGCCAATCTAGGGAGTGGGAGGGCCTGCCAGCCTGCAGTGGGTGAAGGAGGAGGCCACTCTTTTGCAAGTTGGGTGATTTTTAAGATGGGGAAGAGGAGGGCGCAGACTTGAGGAAGGAGCTGGAAAGGGAAAAGCTGGAAGACTCAGGAGGGAAATGATGGGCTAGGTCCTGTGCGGGAGTGGCTTTGGACGGTACATGTTTTCCCTGGGGACCCATGGGAAGGAGACAGCAGCACCGAGGGGGAGTGGGGGCCTTTCCCGTGGCTTTATGGGAGCCTTCTGGAGAAGTGAGAAGTGTGGGTGCAGCAACGTGGGTGAGGAAAGCCTGAGGGAAGTGCCTGGTGGAGGGTGTGGTGGGGAGTCACTAGAGGTGACGTGGAGGCCAGGCGCCCAGGCTGCAGGGACAGGGCACTGGTAACTTCCTGGCTGTGTCCTCTGCGCGCTGGTTTGCCTCGCCACCTCCGCAACTATCCTGAGGGTAGCACGTATTCCTGCGAAGCCTGAAACGGCCGTACCTGCCACACCGTCAGCTCAAGAAACAAGGGGACAGGACAGCACCTGGGGGAAGGGGCTGGAAGAGGGACAGGTGCTCCTGAGTCCTGGAGGAAGTGACATTCCCTGCTTTCTCCCCCAGGGATGCACAGGAGGAGAGGAAGAAAAGCAGCCTGCGGCCAGGGCTCCAGCCAGAATCAGAGCTGACCTGAGAGGGGCTGTTTCCTCATCTGCTTGTGGCAAATGCTACCCCACCCACCCCAGCAGCCATGGGAGAGTTGTGTGTGTGCACGGCCAGGGTGGGCCATCCCTGTCTTTTCTACATTGTCCTCTCAGCGTGCTGTGTGTGTCCTGGACTGTTTTCTCAACGAGGCTGTAAACTATTGGAGAGTAATGCTGATTTTTTTTTCCTGTCTCCAGCATCTGGCATTGGCAGGTATGATTATCTTTCATCCAATAAGTAAATAAATAAGTAAAAGAAATGCAAAAGATTAGTGTCCAACAGAAGCTCGTGTCCCCTGCCACAATGAGGAGGGAAGAAACTCAGGGCCTGCCCCACCAGAATCAGAGCTGACCTGAGAGGGGCTGTTTCCTCATCTGCTTGTGGCAAATGCTACCCCACCCACCCCAGCAGCCATTGGGAGAGTTGTGTGTGTGCATGGCCAGGGTGGGCCATCCCTGTCTTTTTTACATTGTCCTCTCAGCGTGCTGTGTGTGTCCTGGACTGTTTTCTCAACGAGGCTGTAAACTATTGGAGAGTAACGCTGATTTTTTTCCCCCGTTTCCAGCATCTGGCATTGGCAGGTATGATTAATTATCCTTCATGAAATAAATAAATACGTAAAAGAAATGCAAAAGACTAGTGTCCAACAGAAGCTCGTGTCCCCTGCCACAACGAGGAGGGAAGAAACTCAGGGCCTGCCCCGTCCAGTTTCCTGATGCCTCTGGACTCCTGCAAAGGCATCCAAGGTGTGGGGCGGGCAGCCCTGGGCAGCTGTGGCTCCAGGTCTTACCTCTTACTGTCCTTCCCTTAGGGCTTCCTCCACCTTGGGCACCTCCTGCCGCCTGCCCCGGAAGTCTTCATCTGAAAAGCAGAGGGAAGCTGCCTCATCCTCCACCCTCATCCTCCACCCGCAGGTCCTGGCTCAGCCAGGCATGTTCCCAGGCTGAGCAGGGGCACATGCTGACCCCAGGGGAGGGGGATGTGTGGGTCTGGTGAGAAGGCAGCAGGGCACAGGGCAGATGAGGACACCGGTCTGCCAGCCTGGCTCCATCCCTGAGCTCCACGACCTTGGACAAGATTTTCCCTCAGTTTCCTCATCTATGAAATGGGACTATCCAGTGACCTCCAAGGCCCCTCAAGCCCTTGTTTCTGGATGTCTCCTGACCACCGAAGGTCCCTCTCTCAGAGGCATAGTGGGCTCTGAGGCAGTGTCTTCTGTCCGTGTGGCCTCTGGGAGGGACTGGATGAATGCTAAAGGCCTTGGGCCCAGAGACTGAACCTGCCCGGAGCTTGGTTCTCAAGTTGAAGCCTGTCTGCCCCCGACACTGCAGAGACTACTGCCTAGCAACAGCACCTGGCTCTCTGTGCTCCAGGTAGAGATCTAGGTGGAGGTGTGGCCGGGGCTCCCTTTCAGGGGTGGGAGGAAGGGAGAGGCAACATGGTCTAAGTGGGAGGACCCATCTCTTTGGGTCACCTGCCCCCCCAAATCCTTGGTGTGTCACCCATGAAACACCCAGGCCCTCTTCTTGGAGGGCCACTGACCACAGGCAACTTCGAGATCAAGCCACCCCGCCCTCCGTGCCTACCACAGGTGTGGCCCTCCACGTCGTCCAGGAGATTGGCTGTTGACGCAGCAGCCCCCAGCCTGCCCGGCCATTCAGGAAAACTGTCCCAGGGATGGGTGGGCACTGCCATAGGACTCCAACTCCCTGCCCTTAGTCCTCCACCACCCGCTCCAAGCTCAGGAAGCTTCCACCACACCAGCCTTATCCCCCAACACCCCCCTCCAAGAACTCCCCCAGACTCCGTTCCTTTCAGCTGGGCAGCCAGGCCCTGACCCTCCCTACCTCCCCTCTGGTAACAGGGAAGCGATTCGCTCCCTGTTCCCCTTTGGCTGTTCAGCTTCTAATACCCTGGGACCTATTTGACAATCATGGATGGGAGTCTGGGTGAAAATGTGGAAATCCTCATCTTTACTCCAGGAAGTGAAAGTGAGAAGGCAGGGCCAACCTGCTTGGAATGAGGCAGAGAGATCTGGGGATCAGTTCAACTGGAGAAACTAGGGAAAGGTTTGCCGATTTCAGCGGAACCACCATGTTTTCTACCAAGATGTCGTTTACTCCAGGCAAAAAGCACAAAAGCTGTAGGACAATTCTAAGCCTCCAGGAGGAGGGGGGGGCGGGGGATGCTGGCCCTCTCCCCAGGCCTGGTCATGGTGGTGGCGATGGGCACAGAGAGAAGGGGCAGCAGGCTGGCAGCAGGACTCAGGGAGAGGGGAGGGCCGCAGAGCCAGGGCCCAGGGCTGAGGGAATGTGCAGCCTGGGGGAGCCCAGCCCAGGGTCCCGGTGCCCTTAGGACCCACCACTCCCCCCCAGGGCCAGGCCAGAAAGGATATGACTGATGCTTCAACAAGTGTTTCCTCTTTGACTTCCTCATCTTGGTCTTCTCTGAGAAGGCCCTGGCCAGTTCAAACAGCTTCCTCCGGGTGGCTGCGGGCGGAGAGACCTGTGAGCCAGCAGCGGGAGCACCAGGGAG